GGGTATGTGGCTGCTCCCTTCGATCACCTTCCCAGCCAGAGGGGGAGCTCGGGCTCCAAGCCTTAGGAGGGAGGCTTGTCTGTACGTCCGTCCTCCAGCAAATGATGCCTCATCCTCCCTGTGCTCTCCTCAGGGCAGGGCCCAGGATGTGGAACTTCCCTGGGTGCTCTACACAGGCCAGTGGGATAAGGGATGGGACTGGCAGAGCTTTGGTCTCCATGGAGATGAACCTGGGGCTTCTTGGTTGGGGGATGGTGGGTGGGGGAGGAAGGGGATTGTGAATTACCATTTGCCACCAATTGCTACCTTCCAGGTGTAGAACATATGGCTCCATACCCCTTGCCCGCCTCCAGTCCAGGACCATCTACAATGCCTCCTGGAGCTCCCCCGCCACTCCCATGACTCCCAGCCTCCAAAGCCCAGCCCTCAGCAAGCCTCGACAAAAGCAGCATCCTCAGAAGCGGCCGCCACAGTGGAAAGGGTCTAAGCACACCCACAAAACCAACACCACAGCCCTCTGGGTCCCCATGGCCTCTACCAAACCTGATATGTCCCCAACAGCCTGGCTGGAGGTCACCCATCCAGGCCTCCAGCGGCCACAGAATGGCCTAAAACCCTGGGGTGAGCGCAGAACCTAACTTTGGGGGTTCCTGATATGGGAAGGTAGCCCTGCCTCTGTGAGGGGTTGTGTTGCTTCGTTTCTTTTTCCATACTCCTCCTGGGATACCCCAACCTCCTATCAGGTCATGCTGCAGCTAGAAGGATTTTTGTAAGCCCTAAACTTGACCATTTCACTCCTCACTGAGCCCTTACCATGGCTCCTCTTAACTCACGATGTGCCCACATACAGGGTCCTCAGGCACTGGTCCTGCAGATTCTATTCCCCAGCTGAAACTCCAGTCTTATAAGCCTCCTTTGGTTCCTCAAAAGCAGCTTGCTCTCTCCCACCTCTGGGCCTTTGCACATGCAGTTCCTTCTGCCTGGAGCATTCTTCCCGAGTCTTCTTGTACTAGCTCAGCAGTCTCTTCCTCCAAAAAGCCTTTCCTGACCAACATTCTGGGTTCTATGGTAGCACTGCTGTGTGTGTGTGTGTGTGTGTGTGTGTGTGTTTGTGTGTGTGTGTGTACATGAGACAGGAAGGATGTGAGACAGGAGGACCCTGTGTTTGTGTGGCTGAGCACGTGTGCCTCTGTTTCCCCTAAATGGCAGTGGGCATCAGTGGGGATTTGCTGGGGGACTGGGCTCCCCTCACCACCATGCCCCCCAAACCCAGATGCCCGCCGGGCCTGCCGCAGCTTCCGCCGCCTGGATCAATGCGAGCAGCAGATTGGGCCTCAGGAGACCAAGTTCCAGCTGCTCAATAGCGCCCATGAGCCCCTCTTCCACTGCAATTGCACACGTCGGTGAGGCCTGCTCGGACCCTTGGGGGTGGGCGGGCTGCTGCCAGTCTGTGAGAAGGGGCTCCCGGGTGGCCGGACCCTGCCCCAGCTTAAGCCTGCCTCTGCCCTCAGTCTGGCACGCTTCCTGAGGCTCCACAGCCCACCTGAGGGCACCAACGTGCTTTGGGAGCTGCTAGGCATGACCTGCTTCGAGCTTGCCCCTCCACTGGACTGTGCTGAGGGCAAAGGGTAAGTGGTGGCCAGGCCAGGAGGGAGGGGGCATTTTCCCAAGGGGTGGTTTGCTCATCCTCCCTTTGTGTGCCTGGGCTGAGGGGATGGGGAAGCGGGTTAAGGCAGTTCTGAGTTCCATTGTCATCTTCCCCCTGCTCCCTGGTGACCTAGCAAGTTCAGTCACCTCTCCATGCCTCCATTTTCTTACCTATAAAAAGCTTGTAGAAACCAAGGAAATGGAATGTGCAACCCACATAGCCCAAGGCCTGCCTGGCACACAGTAAAATGTTTAACTCTTACTCCTCACCTAAAATCTCATTTCAGCTCTGATTCCCAGAGCAAGCCCCTTGTTACCGTCCCCATTTCAGGGCTGAGGAAACTGAGGCCCAGATTGGCCCACGTCTCCGCAGCAAGCTGGTGGCCAAACTGGGCCCTCCGGGTGCCAACCTAGGTTTCTTCTGCTTCCCCCCTTAGAGGTGTAACCCCTCCCTGGCCCCAGCCCTGCTTCTCGCCAGGTTCAGCCCCCGAGTCTGCAAAGTAGGGTGGGATCTTTGGCAGCCGTGACCACCCGCCCCACTTTTCTTGGCCCACAGCTGTTTCGGAGACCCTAGGGCCATTAAGGTATCAGCCCGGCACTTGTGGCGACTTCAAAAGAGGCGACGCCAGCTCTGGGGTGTGGGCACAGGTGAGGGGCAGTTGCAGCCTTCGGATCACCCAAGAGCCCCCATGTCATTCTATGACCGCTGCCTGCAGCTGACCTTCCAGAGACCCAACAGGAGGGAGAAATCCTAGAACCGGTGATCTCAATTCCAGCTCTCCTGGGCACCAGACGGGGCCCTGCCCCTAGCTCTGCTAGGCCCCAGGGGTTCTTGGCTTCCTCTCCGTGTGTTAGACTGAAGCATGGCTCAGGATCCCGTGGACAGCCAGGAGGCAAGGGGAGGTGAGGCTGAAATGCTGGACCACGTCTCCTACTGTGCTGGGTGATTTTGAGCTGGTGACCCAACCCCTCTGTGCTTGGCTGGGGTGTTCAGGAGGCACATTCTGATGCTCTGGGCTTGGACCTTGCCAGATGGGAATGAAGAAAGGGTAATTTAGTACAGCAGCCTCCGGAGGTATGAGGAAGAGTACTGTATCTCCTGGTTGCAAAATCAACACGTATCTCAAAAACTTGTCCAGAGGAGCCCCAGGAACCTACTTGCTGAGGCCTGAGGCAGCCGGTGGGAAATGGGATGTCACAGAAGCGCCTGTGTCTGAATCCAGGGAAGGGGAGGGTGGCTGCGGGGGGCACTGTCCAACCCTTTTCCCTGGGGAATCCCTTCTCAACAGCTGCTGTGCCCTTCCTGGCCCAGTCCTGGCCCATTTTTTCCTACCCTAAACTTAAAACTCAGATCTCCTCTGTGTCCTTCAATGAGGGACCTCCCCCACTCTGAGCCTTAGTAACTCCTCTGAAAAGGGGCAGTGTGATGAGGGCCTACCTCATAGGAATGTTGAGGATTAAGGAAACCAATACACGAACAGTGCTTAGCACCTAGTAAACGTTCCCTCCCTCTAACACATAGCCAGACTGTGGTTGGGTGTCTGATTCTGAGAGGTTTGCCTTCTGGAGGCCTCAGTTTGCTCACCTATGAAATACGTCTAAGAACTGCACTGAACTCAACACCACAACTCAGGGTTGTGGTGCAGATTAAAAGAGATGGCATCTGTAATGTATACAGCTGGAATCTGGTAATTGTCAGATCTATCATCCTCTTGCCTCTTTAGTCCCTTCCTCTGACTACCCCCACCCCCAGACTGCTAACAAGTTAGAAAGGAGTCAGGAGTGAGGCTGGAGCATTTAATTTCTAACTGATGGCCTCCAGGATCGCATCCCCTTCCCCATCTCAGATGGGGGTCAATAGGGGTTTTCTGATTGTCACAGTTGAGGTGCCAGGACTGAGTTTGGGGGACCCCACGTGGCCAGCCCTGGCCAGGACAGAGTGGCAGGTGCGAATAAAGCTGGAGCAGCAGCAAGAGGGACACAGGTGGGTTTGCAGATCAGGGCACAGCGGCGGCCTCCTGGGCCTACCGGCTCACCCACCCTCAGGGTCCCAGACCCCCTTCCTCCAGCCCCTGCTGGCCCTGGGGACTGGTAGACAGGCTGCTGGGGGCTGGGGCCTCCCGATTAGGTCTCCAGGAACCCCCACCACCAGGGTCGACGGGCTCCAGGCGCAAGGCAGGCAGCAGGCCGAGGCTTTGAGGCACAGATGGTGGGAAGGCCCAGGGACCAGGCAACCCAGAGGGCCCCTCCTCACTACTGCCCCGGCTGCCACCATCATGGCTCCTGTCGGGGGCTACCCGGGGCAGGCGGCGGCTCTGTGGCGAGGGGCTGCGGCTGGCACCGCGGCGTTCGCGAGATGAAGGCCGAAGGGCAAGGCCGGGGAAGCGGGCTAGGCCTGGGCTGCGGCTGCGGTGCCTCTTGGACTTGCCAGGGCTGGGGCTACGGGACTTGGGTGCAAGCAGCTCCAGGGTACTGTCATCCTCGTCCTCTGAGCTGGCACTCGAGCTGTCTGTGCTGCTGCTGGCCAGCTCCGAGGTAGGCAGAGAGATCTGGGGGAGATGGCTGGTCACTGGGCTGCCCTACTCCCCAGCCAGCCACTCAAGGTGTCTTGGAACCACTCCCACCCTGGCCATGAGTAGACCCGGGAAAAGTCAGGCTACTTGTAGGAGACCATGGAGCAGAAGGTAGAGGCTACAGCGTTGTGAACAGGGTCTTTGGGAAGCCCCCACTCCCACAGTATGACCTACTCACCTGGAAGGGCTCAGTGACACCAATAAGGATACTGTGCGTGTGGCTGTAATAGCCCAGGATGAAATCTCCATGCCCCTTGGGCAGTGACTCCTCACTGAAGGTCACCTGGAGGGCCCAGGTTGGGGTCAGGGAGGCAGCCTCAAGGACTGCCCAAGTCAAGTCCCAAGCCCCAAGGGCGACGGGGGCTTCCTCCCACCCTCGCCCTCCCTTTCAGTACCTGGTAGATGCTCCCATCCACATCCTCATGTTTGGCCCACACGTAAGCCACGTAGTCCTTGCAGTGGCGGAAACCCACCTGGGGTGAGAGGATTCAGGGTGGTATCTCTTATCAACCCCCCACCCCTACCCCCCATCCCCCCACCCCTGCTGCTCCTCCTGCTCCTCCCTTCCTTGAGGCACTGACCATCCCTGCCCTTCTCACCCGGTACAAGCCGATCCAGTCCCAGGAGCTGCGGGCGAACACGGTTTCAATGCGGTACCTTACCACCGCCTGCTCAGGCCGCACCCACTCATCGGCCACCTCCAACCTCACTAGCGGCACGTCGTCCCTGTAAGCGAACTGCCCAGGGGTGGGGGCAACATCAGGGGGGACCCTCGCGAGTGTCCTTGGGCCTGAGTCAGCACAAATCAGCTGAGAGACAGGGCCTCCAAAACCACCTTACAGATTGGGAAACCAAGGCTGAATAGATCTAGGATAAATGCCAGGCTTCTCACCTCCCAGCCCAGGGATCTTTACGGCAATAGCCTCCTTAGGGAGCAAGGATACAGCTTTGAAGGGAATAGGGCAGCCCTGGTTCTGCCCTTGCCCCTCCTCTGTCCCTCAAGGAAGGACTCAGATGGCGTGTGAGCCTCAGGCTTTTGTCTGCTCCCCTCCTATTTATCAGGTTTTGGGTTTCCCTCCCTCCTCAGCTTTTGAGCCAGGCTGTTTCAGAAGAAACCAGAACATCCTCTCCCTGTCCCTAGGTTCCTAACAGCCAGGGGTGGCCTCTTGGAAATGCTCTCTGGGGCCTTTGCAAGTTTTGCCAGGGGTGGCCTCTTGGAAATGCTCTCTGGGGCCTTGCAAGGTCAAAACTCTCACTAAGTCCCACTCTGATTGTGTTGCTTCAGTTAAGAGACTTAAGTTCTCTGAGTCTCAGTTTCCCTCAACAGTAAAACTGGGAGGAGAATTTGGATCTCTCAGGGCCTACAAAGGCATTCAAAGGGATGACAGAATCCCAGGGCTTGGCATGCAGTAGGGACTCAACAGGTAACATTCTGCAAGGGTCAGAGTCCTTGATGAGGAAGGAAGGTCAGGGTAGGGCACCAAAAAGGAGTGGTTCTCAAGATGAGACCCCTGACTGAGGGTGAACCTCACACCCAACTCCTTTACCAAAGGTCACAGGAGGCCAGACTTGGGCAGCTTTCCATTCCCAGCTGAGGATACTGGCCAATGTCCCATGGACTGACCACATGGCAGAGTTACCAGGGAAAACATTCTCTGGCCTGCAGACTCCCTCTTATGAGATCAAGGAAGGGAATTGGAGAGCCCAGAGTTGGGGTTTAGGGCTGATGTGCGACTTGGGGTACATGCCTGCCCTACTGGGGGCCTCAGTTTCCCCATAGAAAAATAGACTGTTGGACTACGTGGTCTCCCAGGTCCGGTTCTGACATTCTAGCATTTCTTTTTACTTTGGCAACCAGACACCTCACCCCTACACACAATGCTAAGTTACAGTAACTGTTTAGGATTTAGCTTTGTATTTTTCATCTCTCAACTCCTCCTCCCCATTACTACCTCACTCATGGTGCTTGACACATGGTAAAATGGTAAATAAATATGAATGAGTGCTATATGAAGTTTGAATAAACATTTTGATTTTGTGGGTCTTATTATATGACTGCATAATGTGAATTTTCACAAAAGTCGTCCTAATCCTTTCTCAGAAGAACCGAGTTAGGGATTAGTGGAGAAGGCATGGACTCTGAAAACAGACTAGCTTGGGTTCAAATTCCAATTCTTCCATTTCCCAGCTGTGTGACCCCGATGTGATGCCATGTCTCCGAGCCTCAGTTTCCTCATCTGAAAATGGGGGTCATAAGCCACTCCCACTCTGCTACAGTGAATGGATGCTGCTGAGGGCAGGTGCAAGGGGTTACCAGTAGGCCAGGTGATGCTGAATTGGACCTGGGGATGTCATGATGGGAGGATGAGGCCAGGACTCACCTGCAGGACGAACTGGGCAGCCACTGGCTTGTGGTCACTGACTGTGTATTCCATGTGGCTGCGGTAGCTGTGCTGTGTTACCTGAAGCCGGTGGCTTTCCCGTCCTGAGGGGCTGGGACCCACACCTGGAGCCTTGACCTTCCACAGGATACGGTCTGTCCAGGCTGGCTTCCGCTTCTTGGCACTGAAGTGGGCAGGGGTGACCTAAGTTTCAGGGGTTTGAGGCACAGCCCCCAACCTTGCTTCTTGCCAATCGTCTTCCCTTTCTTCCCTATCCAGAAGACCTCAGCCCATGCCTCCACCTCATCCCAGTTCTGAGCTCACCTGGTATCATATTTATTAGTACCCACATCAAATTTGAAGGTGGGCGCAAAGTTGAGGGGCCCCTCCTGGAAGCCCTTCAGGATGGGCCAGGTGTTCTTGGCCATGTTGAGCTGTGAAAGTTCAAAAGGGCAAAATTGGACAATGGCTTGGATGGGACAGGTGAAGCCAAGAGCCAGAGCCTAGTAGACAAAAGTGTGGTGGGTCATGTTCTGTGTGTTTGGTGTTTAGGGTTGTGGGCTGGGGTTCTGCACCTGGTCCTTCTCCCAGAGCTGGTGGAGCTGGTCTCTGTCAATGGCAAACTTGACAAAGTGCAGGTCATAGCTCTCGATGCGGAAGTTGAGGTCCCCAAACCAGAACACGAGGCTGTTTGGGGATGGGGGTCAGCAGGGTCCGCGGGGAGAAAAAGCCCAACCCAAATCCTTCTCCACCCACAACCAAACCACCAAGGAACAGCAGGGGGATGTAGATAAAAAAGAA